ATACAGGCTCGGTGGCTCAGCCTGTAATCCCGCACTTTGGGAGGCCGAGATGAGTGAATTGCCTGAGCCCGCAGGTTTGAGACCCACTTGGGCAACTTGGCGAGACCTCCTCTCTACAATAAATAAAAAAAATTAGCCGGGCGTGGTAGGGCGCACCTGTGGTTCCAGCTACTTGGAAGGCTGAGGCGGAAGGATCGCCGGAGCCCAGCAGGTCGAGGCTGTGGTGGCCAGGAGCGGCCACTGCACTCCAGTCTGGGAGACAGAGTGAGACTCCAACTCAAAAAAAAAAAAAAAAGTTTTACAAAAAAGTAAGAGAAAAATATTTTAGAAGTACAGCAATAATCTTTAAAAGAGGAAGGATTAGAACTATGTCTTGACTATGTACCTAATTCACATTTCAAATTTAAATGTAAAGAACGTAAGTACATCTTTTTAGAGGTTAAGTACACAAAAATAAGAGTCTGAAAAATGCACTACCATATGAAATTGAAAGAAAAGTACCCAATATCTTTAGGACTATATTAAAGTCTTAAAAATTTTCTTTTGTCTTTAAATGTGATTTTATGATTGAACAGCAGTTAGTTTGGGATTCTTCCAAACTAGTCAGCTGGGCAAATTATCTTAAAAACTAGTTAAGTTAGAAACCATTTAAAAAATATTAAAATATTTAACTCACAATACAAATGAGCTGTAACTGTTTATGATCACATTCCTAAGTTACCAAGATGTCTGTCTAAATATTTTTTTACATTGCCATTTTAAACAGCCCTGAAGAGAATAATAATAATCACATATATTCTGCATGTAAAAAATGTTTTCATGCTAAACTATGACAAAAATAAATATGGCTAATTAATGAGCAACGAGATATTATGAGAAAACCTTAAACACAAATATATTGAAATAGATTTGTTTTTATATATCATATAGTACATTAACATTATATATAGAAAGATAAGAATTCTATGTTAGTTCAACCGATTAAACTATGTATAATACTTAAATTTTTCATATATTTAAATATTTGTCATCTCTAAATGTTTTCATACTCCATATACTATTGATAATGCTTTAATTTAGTTCAGCTACAATTATTTTTATTTCTTTGATTTTCATTATTCTTTGAGATGTTTTTCTAGCAAAGAAACATAAAAATACATAAAACTTTTATAATAAAGACATTTATATTACCAATAAAGATCAAAATATAAATCAGAAATAATTTAAGAAGAAAACACCACTACTTGATACTAAATGAAGATGAATAAAGTATTAATAAATAGTTAAGCCAACTCAGTTGTGATAGCTTAACTGTAGTCATTTTGAAATTACTCTTTCTCTTTGGAAAATAAATTACTGCATAAATTATAAAATAAATGAAATATACTTGTTAAAAACTGTCTCTTTATTTGAAGGCAAATAATTCCAAGTATATATAAACCCAATATGTGAAGAAAGTATTATGCAAATAAGCTGAGGAGAGGGCAAAAGAAGGAGAATGGATTCTATGCCTCCTCAGAACAAAATGAAAATTCAAAAGATCACTTTATCTTATTAGGACTTTGGAAATACATATGAAAATCAATGTAAAGAAAAATTTACATGATAACAAATAGCAACAGATAGTTAAGGGGTAACACTGTCTTTCTCCACAAAAAAACTTATGTTTACTTAATATGGACTCCCTTTAAATACCATCAAGTATTTAAGTCTTATTAAAAACTTTCAATATTTTTAAAAAACCGTCAGTAACCTTTTCCAGGCAATTTAAACATGTAATCCTACAATCTAACTGCAGATTTTTAAAAAATTATTAATAATAAGAAATTGATGGGTATTAATTATTAACATTTACAAATTATTATATTCTAAATTGATGAAATTACCTTAGTAAGAAATTAGACTTACAAATTTGTAATAACCATGTATATTCTTACTTCAACTGAGACAAATCTCTATGTTTCACACTGGAGTCTTAAGAAATTCCTAAAAATTTATCCTATTTAATAACTAAATTATTATAGAAACTTTTGAATTTCTGTTAAATATTTTTTAAAATATCTCAAAAACTGAGGTATGACAAAATTTACAAATATAATCCTTATATATTCCTCTTAATGAAAATATTCATTATTGAATTCTATCAATGTTTCACAATTATAATGGGTCAGAACACATATCTTCATTTTCAAACCATAAAAATATGACTAAAACATAAGTTAACAGAAAATCAAATGAAGTCTATCATTTTAAACCACCAACGCTCACACACCATCCTCAAACGGCAGAATCTCACTGCATTCACCAACATATCTAAAGATAGGGAATGTACAGCACCTAGACAAGTGTTTCTGAAGAGTTAGTGACATCACAGGAAATACAAGAAAGTTTGACTGTATCACTGCCAACAAATTTTAAATGGAATTACATAAATACAAATGTATAGCTCTATTTAAAAACACACACATATATCTTTTTTATTTCATAGCAACTGAATTTTGATATGCAGTTCTTTGCAATCAATATGTTTAAAAGAAAAAAAAAACCTAGTGTCTTGGCATGACTTTTAAATATTGTTTTAAAGAACTAAAATCATTTTTTATTTCCCAAATAATTATAAAAATGTTTCAGGATGCTCAAAAATACCCAATGACACACATACTAAAAGAAAAGCAAAAAGCAAAACTATGTCATAAATTTAAAACAGTTTGAGTAGATATTAGTGCAGTTGAACATTTAAATTTCCTAATTATCTGTGATGCATATTATTTCCTAATAGTTTATGGACATAATGGGGGAAAAAAATCTAACTTAAAGTTATACATAGAAGCTGGTATGTTTTCAAAAATTCTCATACAATAAAAATGTTTAACAAAATGTATAAAGTAGTCTTGAGTTACAACCTGATTCCATAGGGATACTCACATGATATGTATATATATCATTTGCAACCATTTAATTGTTATTTGCAGTTGCTTGACTAAAACCAGTAGGATTCCTGTCCTCAAAACAATTATTGATGCAATTTATATATAATTTATATAAGTCCCAATACAAAATAGAAACCCCTTTAACTAGGGATCATTCAATACTGTACTTTTTGTGTATAAATGATATGTAACAGAAGACTAAAGCAAGTCAAATATTAAAAATCAATGCTTATAATCTAGAAACTTAGCTATATATAAAAAAAACTTCAGCAGCAATATGTTTTAATTCAGTGGACACAGGAATGTTTATCATTAAATACCCACTTAAATAGCTTAAATTTGGATGTCTCATGATTCTAAACATTAACACTGGTTAACAAAATATGTAATATTTGAATATTTTAAAAGGTAAACATAGAAAACCAAATTATAACAAGGTGTGATTAGACAAAGAAGAAAATGGCTATTTTTTTCATTCATCTATAAAACAAATTTATGAGATCGTAAAGAACAATTTAACAACCTAAGGAAGGTTCAAAGAGGGAAGCAAGAGCCTGAGAGAAAATGGATTTGTCAATGATTTTAGTCATTCAGGCTTGGTGGGGAAAAAGCAAAAGATGCAGCTTCATGTTGCAATACGAAATAGGAAGCATAAAATCCAGTAGTCTGTATGTGGACTCCTATTTATATATTTAAACCCTGTTTCAATTCACAGATTATGCTGATCCTTCCACATGTAAACAGCCCATAATGATGGCCAGGCCTTTAGGAAAGAAAACACACACCACACAGCAAGGTCAGGAAGCTACCAAGCACCGCAGGACAACAGACCAAAACAGAATGGTTTCAGATGCTTCTATTGTTTATATACTTAATTTGAAGATGGTATTCCCTGGGGAGGAAGAGGGAGGTATAAATATTTCAAGAAACATGGAACACTGTATCTAATAAAATATACGCTTTTCATACAAATACAGTATTTCAGGCATGTATCTACATCAACCAATCGTAGTATTAACAGTCATTCATTCATTTCTTGTTAACTCAGAAGTCATGCCAAAATAAGCCTTAGTCCCAAACCTTTTTATTTCTAACTATGAATTCAGTACAGAGAATCTACATTTCTTTAACTTGTTTTGATGATACAATCAGGCTTGCAAAAAATATAAATATCCTTTTTACTAGAAAGAGATTAAGCAACAGAGAAGCAAAAGGGGAAGAGGTATTCATTTATTATTTCCTGGGTAAAATTTTGAAAATGAGGAGCAATGACATTGCTTGGTATTGAACCACCTTAAAAAATTACAGCACAAAATAAGCAATGGTGGAAATTTACCCAAGTAGCAGACTAGCACATTTTAAACACACAAGCTAGAGCCGCCTCTGGCCACATGTTTTTTTGAGTTCAGTCTCTTAAAGAGACAGTGTCCTTAGACTCCTACTTCCAGGGAGCTCATTTCTAAAACGTATGGTTACCATGCATTCTCTCTTGCATTTCTTTATATTCATACCAAGGCAACAAGTGTTCTGTTTTATTTCACTGGGAAGTCAAATTAGTTGATCTGAATCTACAAATGACTACAGGACAGGCAGCCATGAAATAACAGAGGGGGCTACTTACTATGGCTAGGGGTGCCTAAAACAAGAGAGCCTACACACTTTTTTCTTATCGTTTTACTTTCTTTTTTGAACCTCACAATGACCACCGTTTCTTCATTCATCTTTTTCCACCCATTAACAAGGCACAGGCGACAGAGCACTTTGTAACCGGTAACACCGGAAGCAACACGAGAACGAGAACGCAATTTTGCTGACGAATGAAGGAGGGGGAAATGCTAATAAAGTCAACCCGAATCCGAACAGCAAAATTTCAAAGATTTCATGTTCTCTTTAGAAAGATATCCGGGAAGGGGCCCGCACACATACCCTAACGACTGAATTACCTCGTGATTCTGAGGAAGATTTCTCTCTCCAGGGACCCAGGGGCACGTTATTGTAGGTCTACTGACATGACCACTGCCCAGCTCCTCCACGGGGTAAAGGGTTGGGGGTGGGGGGAGTTCGGCTTACTTGGTGTACAAATACATCGACTGGAATATCCAAGGGACTTCCCTCTCGGCTTATCATGGAGATGAATCCAAATCCCATGCGCACATTGAACCACTTGCAGTGGCCGGTTCCATGCAAAACCGGAGAGTCCTCCTCGGCAGGCTCCGGCAGCTTCCCGGGCTCCTCGCCACCACCTTTGCTCGCCCCGCCTGAGATGGAACCGGACACAAGAGTCAGTCTGTACACCCTGCAACGCTCCTCGAAAGATTTGTTTAAAAATTGCTGGGGGGGGGGGAGAGGTGGTAGAGAAAAACGTATGTAGATTCCTTATTTTCTTCTATGGTGAACATTAAAAATAAAAAGGGTTCAAAGGAAAGTGGGGGAGGGGAAAGCCACACTGTTCTAGGGATCAAATCAACTTTCACGTCTCTGCACCTACGTGTACTTTCTCATTTAACTGTTTTCCAGCCACATATTACAGTACAGCGTGCGATACTTTCTTGCGTAGGGCTGATTGAATACGGATCCCATTTACAAAGAAATGTTCAGGGAAACCATTCCCTCCGGCGGGCACCAGGGGGGAAGAGGAATCCTGAGGATGGTTGGAACTGCTAGTTAAAGCACTGGCGGCTGCCGCGAAGCCAGGGTTATTTGCAACGCGCCTTCCCTCCCCCCATAACTTTCCATTAAAGTTGGGGTGGGATGGGGGAGGGGGCAGGTGTATAAAAGTTTCCTTGGGCTCACTAACTAAAACTGCGCTTCATCACACTCACACAATTCAAACAATAGCCCCCTGAAAGCTTTTCAAGTTGTGAATCGGTGTGGGCGGTACAAAACATTTTTGGAGATCTATAACAATAGGTTTGCAGAAAGCCCCATTGCGCGATGGGGGGTGGGGAGGTAGTACCCAGTATTGGGGTAAAGGAGGAAGGGGGGACGGTCAAAGAAGGGTAGGAGAGGGGGAGGGAGGAGAGAAAAAAGAAGAAAGAAAATCACAGTAAAACAATAGAAAAGAAAATTAACCTTCGGCCATGTTGCCCCACGGGCCCTCAGCTCCAAACTCGTGAGATGAAAACTTTCCCTTTGGAACGGAGTGATCTTCTGCATCAATCTAACATCTTGATTTTGTGTGATCACAAATTTAGCTCGCATGGTCTAATGTGCTTTCCTTCTTTTGATTTTTTTCTCTTCTCTCTCCAGTTTCTGGCCCCCTGAGCACACGTGACTTTGTCAATTACATGCTTTCTTGCTACTAATTTCACCTCGGATCCTTAAGGGGCTGGCAAGAGGAAGAGATAACCAATCGCCATTTCATCTATGCTGACATCAAAATAATTTATGAATGAACACGAAAAACTCAAACATGTTATCTTAAAGACAATTTGGGACGCTTCTTTAGGATAAATCAGAATGCTGATTTCGTGCTTTACTTAAACACAATGGAGAGTCCTTGTGAATCGTAGATTTAGAAAAAAATGGCAGAGTCATGTATGTACACACGCGTGCCCTACACACAAGCCTGTCTAAAAATTGTGGCGGGGGGGCAGGCATTTAAATAAAGCAACCGATGTTATGCTTTCCCCCAAGAATTCAGTTACGCCATGGTAGGAATCCTGCTTAGAACACTAATTTCATATTTAAATCAATTCTTAGAGGAAAACACGTAATTCATAAAAGATTTAATTAAACCTAATTACATCCCCATGAAACTTCAGATGATGGTAATACACACCTACAAAAAGGCAAAAGCGAATAATTACCTGATTGTGCCCTGGAATTTTTTTCAAATTTGAAATAAAATCCTGCCAGATAATTGGGCTATCACCTTCATGGAGTCAAACTGTATTTAGGTTTATCATTCTGGAACATTTTAGAGCGTGTTGGTGAGGAATTGTACTTCACAGGTTCCTCCGCCATCTCTTTCCGGGGGAGGAGATGTGATTAATGACTTCCTAAATAACAGCCCAGTTTTCCAGTCTAACGCAGTGAACCTCAATCAGTGGCGATTGTTCCCCAAGAGCAAGACAGCATAGGCAGGAGGGGGAGGGGAGCGCAGGCAGGGGAGGTGAAGAGGAGCTGCCAGGAGAGACCGTGGTGGAGACGGAGAAAAGTAGGGGGGGGGACAAGTGGGAGAAAAAAGGTAAATTAACATCACATGGACTCGGACCCTGACGTTTTAAAAAGCCACTACGAGTGGGCAGAAGAGTCGAATAAACGAACATTTAATAACGGATCAGGCTCCCACCGCCCCTTCCCCGACTGGCCCCCAGTTTCAAAATGTAGCCTTTACCTTGCAAATGGGTGTAAAGGGTCGATTACTAGATGCTGACAATATTACTGCCTTTATCGAATACTACAATAAATATCACAGACCAAACTAGAGATATACATTTCTTTAAAAATATAGAATATAACCCACTTTAAAACCTTAAAGCGCACCATCAGTCTTTGCCCACCCCACCCCCATTTTCTTAAACAAGCAGTTTAGGGAAAAAACGAACTGTTGAGATACCACTTCCCTTCGGCAAAGCTACTGAGCTGACCCTCCCCCACCATGCCCGCAAACCCCCTCACTGCTCTCCAAACACGTCCACACTCGAACACTGCTTCACACAAACTAAAATAGGGACGTGAATCGAAAAGCGACCGAAAAACCCACATACCCCTACTTATACCCCAGTCCCATAGTCAAAAACTGAATATACATTTAAACTAATTGCTTCAGATCGGAAAGAAATGAACGTATATAAAAATTGAAGTTATTTTCAGCTATTTGTGATAAAAGGCATTAATCAAAACTGATCAATTTGGAAAGATTTTTCGTCTTTCATTTCTTTTGTTCCTTGTCTGGAAAGAGGGCAAGCTTTCTCACTTTATTTTTATGGGAAGTAACCATGTGCCAGCTGTTAGGGAAACAAGTAAAAGTGTGAAAATCCAGTGATTTTGCAGATGTTAGAAAAGCTTGAATACTGAAAAAATAATTCACAAACAAAATATTTACTAGGCATTACTTTAACAGTAGAAATTGATTATGACTATTACCTTGGTTACATTGACTTACAAGAAAGTAACTTTAATGAAGGCATTACAGGCTAAACATGCCACATAATATGAAACGAAAAGTAATTTATTTTTAAAATATATTTCTAAAAATTTATTTTAAAAATCAACATTTGGTATCAGAGAAAAAATCTGAAAAAGTATTCATGTAAATCGAGTTTAAGTGTTATTTACATAACAGTAATTATAAACCGCACAGGCCAGTGCATGTTAGTTTTGTTAAACATTTATATAGTAAACAATTTATCTGTAAGTTTATTTTTAGTTAGAAAACAGTATGATCACTGTAAAACCAGAAACAAGATATATAGGTAGATTCTGAATCCTTGTTTATTGGTAAAGTTGATGAAATTTAAACCTATCAATATGTGGATGAAATGTGTGAAATACCATAACTTAACTGCGTTGGATGGTATGGTTATGAGATTCACAGTCTTGCCTGATTGGGGGCCTCCAGTATTAGTGGAATTAAGGTAAGGTTCACTGGACTGGTCACTGGTGTCAGAGGTTATCGACTCGTTCATTTCCTGAGAGGGACATCAGCCTTTCAAGTTGTGGAGAAGGCTTTTTCCAACTGTGAACCCTGAGAAATCTTCTAAAATTCATTCACAAAGAATTTAAGACAAATGCATTTACATACCTTAGTAGGGGGAAGGGTAAAAGAGGGGAAGAGAACAGGCGAGGTGAGAGTGGAGAGAGGACTAGGAAGGAGAGAAGGAAGCTGGAAAGGGAGAGAAGGAAGGAGACCCAGGAAAGCAGAAGATAATCACTCACCGATTTAAGGGTATGGCACTGTCTTTTCAATAGATCATCTTTTCTGCGATTTACCCCCAATTTTTTGAGCTTAAGATCTCTTTATAAACTGGCCAAAAGCTCTAAAGCTGTAGTGCTTCTTTCACATAAAATCATCCTATGAGTCTCCTAGAATGCTTTCCAATTTGTCACTTGCCTCAAGTCTTCTGGTTTTAATTTTTTTCTCATTTCCTCCTTGTTTTTAGTGCCAGACCTGTGTTTGACTCAAAACGCATGTTTTATTCCTGAGAAAGCCAAATGTTTTATAGCTTGATCTATCATAGTTTTTTCAAAATGTCTTTAAAATGAGTCAAGTAGCTACAAAAAATCAAATCGTCAACGCACTGGGGGTAAATCCAGGAAGTGACCTATCATGTCTGTAGGTTGTCACAATCTTACGTTTCCCCATTTAAAAAAGACAAGGTGCCCGTTTTCTCGGCTGTTTTTCTTCAACAGTACAATGCAAGGAGTTGAAAGAAGTGCCAGAGCCCGCCGTGGTTGTTCCCAACTATGAGCAATAAGTGACCTCTATTGAAACAGAAACACTGCTTCGGTTCTTCTTAAACCTGGAGAAGGTGCTGTGGTGGAGACGCCAGCGACTCCACCCGTCCTCTCCTCCCCACAAATGAGACGCGGTCTGCAGTCCCGCACCCCAAGCCTCTGCCACCCCGCGCACTGCACACAGCGAGCGGGTGGCAGTTTCTCCACCACGATTGCAGCTTCCCCCCACAGTGGCTGCAACTGGCCCCCCAAGGTTACAGCTCCTCTCAAGCTAGCCGCTCACCCTCGGGGGGTTCAGCTCCCTCAGGTTGCAACTCACTCCCATGGTGCCACTCCCCAGGGATTACTGCTTCCTTGAAGTCGCAACTCACCCCAGTGTTTACAGCTCCCCCGTGGTACCCGCTCGCCCCCATGTTTACAGCTCCCCCATGGCACCCGCTCACCCTAAGGTTACAACTCGCCCACATGGTTGCATGGTTGCAGCCGCCTGTCTCCCCGACCCCCTCCCCCGGGTCGCAGCCTCCCTTGCATGGTTGCAGCTTGCCACTGCTTGCCCGGGGTTGGAGCCGCCCCCCAAATGGTAGGTTACAGCTTGCCCCAAAGGTAGCAGCTCGGTCCCAGGGAGGATACAACTGTTCACCAGGGTTTCAGCGCCCCCCTCCCTTGCCCTCCGGGGGTTTCAGCTCCCGCAGGGTAAACCCGGTAGACACGCCTGGGGATGTAACCCGCCCCAGGTTCCAGCTTCCCCCTCCCCCGTAGCCCGCTGTCCCCTGGGGGTTCAGCTCCCCCCCACGTCTGCAGCTCCCCCATAGGGCTGCAGCTCCTCCCCCTCCCTGCCGCCCCCCTTGCTGCTCGCCCCAGGGTCGCCGAGACCCAAGCCAGCAGCAGATCTGCCGTCCCCTCCACCTCCCGCCTCTGCAACTTCCTCTCACCTTTATCTCTCCAGTCACTTTTCCCTTTATTCCTCTAGCAGTGGAGCTCAGCAAAGAAGGCTGGTGTTTTCTCACTAATTAAGGGACTTTTACATTTGTCATCTTGTCCCCAAGAACACCAAACCCTTACATTTGCCACTACAGCAAAACCACTACGCACAATGCACTGTTTTTACTGAATTTCCAGACATGTGTCCTTTACAATTTGATCCCTTTATCTACGAGGGGTAGAAACTCCTAACTCTAAGATAAGGTCAGAGAAAAGGGGGATTGGGACCCCGGCCCCACCAGGCAGTGCCTAGCAGGGAGCCGTCTCCTAACCCTGGCGCGTCCTTTCGGGAAGCCACGATGGCAAACGTCGCCTGAGCCTGTGGAGGAGGAAAAAAGCTGTCGGCGGGAAGGGGTCAGGCGTGCGGCCCGGCGGTTTCGGAACCCCCTGTCCCTCGCGGATGCTGCCCGCCTGGAAGCCACCGACCCGCACGTCGGGCAAGCGCTTCCCGGTTCCTCCCACCGCGCTCCAGTACGGCTACTTGGCAGAAACTTTCCTGTCACTCTTACAACATGGAGTCAATCAAAGGAGGACCCGACTGGGTGCGCTGGGCATAGAAGCACTTCAGAATAGGGGGGTGCTTTGTTTTTGATTACAAAAAGCAAAATTCCGTTCTCATTTAATTTCCTTATCTGGAGGCAAAATGCTCTGGCTTAATTGTCCCCATTTTAAAATTTTTACGCAGCAGGAAAAAAAAATCTCTTAAAACTTCCCTTGAGTATCTTAACACATTTCCCCCAGAATAATTAAGTAAAATTGTGGAAATGTGGAAACGGATTGGTACAAATTTTAAATTTTCCAGACAAATTGCCTTTATATTTGAAAACACAAGCATCTGCAAAAGCTTCCTCCTTTTTGGCCAGTTATGTTTCGCAAAATAGTTAGAACAAAATTAATTCAGA